AATCTACTTATATCCCTCCATATCCACCGATATCCAACTTGATCCCTCGATGTCGAATACAAGTCCCCTGATGTTCACTTTAATCTCTAAAAATCCCCCGATATCCCTCTTAATCTTTTTTAATATAATTAAATATACGGGGACTCAATTGAGGTATATACAAGGGGGACTCAATCGTGCGGACTCAATCGTGCCGGGACTCAATTGTGCCGGGACTCAATCGTGGGGACTCAATCGTGGGGACTCAATCGTGCGGACTCAATCGTGGGGACTCAATCGTGCGGACTCAATTGAGGTGTACCGTTTTAATAATTATCATGGAGAGGAATATTTCAACAATCTAAATTTCAAAACAAACAAAACAAAATTTGGCTAATCCATTTAAGATACTTTATTAAAACTTAGAATATCCTCGAGATGAATACTTAAATTATCTTAAGTATAGCTTTCTAATAAATTTTAGCCAAATCAAGAATTTGGTTTCCAAAAATAATCACGACAAACGGAGTACTTCAATTAAAAGGGGCCAACAATACATTCATAAATAGAAAAATAAAGAAAATAATTAATATTTTAAGTCATTTTACATAAAAATTTGTTTGTTTTCCAACTAGCTTAAATTTAAATATTTAGGCATAAATTCAGCGGAGTTTTTGAATGCAGAAGTTCTTCTGTATACAAAGGAACAAACAGCAATCAGAAATGAGTCAGAATAGTCAGAGGTGTCGGAAATCAGAAGACCCGGAAATCGGAACTGGCTCAAAAGTCGGAACTCGGAACTCGGAAATCAAATTTTTTTCAGAAAACGGAAGGAAAAAAGCGTCGGAAATTGGAAATCGGAATTACGACCACCTCGGACACCAATAAAAACTTTTTAAAAATCTGAAACTTTTAAAATTAAAAAAATAATAAATAAAAATTAAAATAGAGAAAGAAACGTCATGGATTTTAATCGAAGTTCAGCTGACACTAAATAGGGGGGAGAAGATGGAGGGAGAGAGAGGGGAAAGAAGACACTCGCTATGCTCGCAAATAAACGTCGTATAAGAGAGAGAAGTGCGCTGTCATAAATGGAATTTACATCCATGCAATCAAACACACAAAAAATGTTTTTACAATTCCTCCATGTTTTGCAACAAACCAGTTTTTATATAAAAATCCAGTAAAAACCGCAAAAAAGGATTAAAAGGAAATAAGGATTTAAGTAAAAATTTTATGCTGTTTTTTCTTAAAAATAAATTTAAAATTAAATAAGGATAATTTCCCTATCATTTATGAAAATCAAGATTTCAATTAATCGATTATAAAATTATTTATTCTCAATTCTAAGAAGCATCTTATATTGTATAATGACTAGGGACCGGATTTTTAGGTTGTAAAAACCCCAAAATATGTAAACGTAAGATATTCAAAAAATAACAACGGATTTGAGCTCAATTCATCATAACTATTTCGCAGAAAAAATAGGTTATAACCTAAAAATCCGGTCCCTAATAATGACTCTATTTTTAAGTTATTACTCCTTAGAATATATTTTATTTAACATTAATTTAAACAGGACAGATAAGTTAGATAATTAGAGAATCATCTGCTGAATAAATTTTGTATTTTTGTATGCTAAAGCAAAGCTTTGGCAAATATTTAGGTTTATTGAAAGTCTTAATTTATTAGCAAACTTTAAGAAGATTAAGAAAAACTTTTTTTAAGCGAACTCAAAGATAATTATATGTATTCGCGCCAAAATAATGCGAAGAAATAAAAATTTGCACTGATCAAAAAATTAGTTTTGAGTACTCGTCATAGTTTTTGGATCAAGTCCTGGTTTTGAATCATGAATTTTAGGTCTTAGACATTTCCTAAGGTTTCAAAAAAATTTTTCGCTATATAAATTAATAGCAAAATCAGCAGAAGTAGGTGAGACGCACCCCTGATCAGGGTCCAAACATGAAACATTAGTGAAACAACATATATAATATCGAATCATATTTTAGAAAAGAATTTCAAATTAAAGCCATAATCTTAAAAATTGGTCTTAGAATGTCTTCCTGATAAAATTTATATTTTTTCCTAATTTTCACTTAACAAACTTGAATAAAAGAAAAAATACAATAGACAGAAAAGACAGGTTTTTTTAATTGTAAAAGGGACTCGTTAAAAAAATTTTATTTTTCATCCTAGACATTTCCACTTCATTTTCCTTTCCTCAAAAATTTCTTTTTAATATTCTTCCCAAAAAGGAGAGAGTCTGGTAAAAAAAGAACAAAATGATTACCCCCAAAACTTCCCACTTAAAATTCATAATTGAAGGGCGCGCAACTAACTAATAATAAATAAAATCAAACACGCGACTTCTCTCAACTTAAAAATAAATAAAAGAAAAATTATGATCAGTCAATGTTGTCAAGTAAAGAAAAAAAAACATGGAAAAATGAAAAAAAATGACAGATTGTCAAGAAAATTGTAATTAAAATAAATTATTTTAAATTTCGGTCACGATTATTATAACAATTATGATAGCAAAACAAAAATATTTAAAGTTTTTCACAAATAAAAACAACTTGAAATAGTTTAAAACTTGAAATATTCAGCATAGAGATAAATAAACAATAACTCATTAAGTCTAAATTTTAGCCAAAATCAAGTTTAGCTCCCAAAAAATGATACACACTTAATTTTCCTTTCCTCAAAAATCTTTCTAATATTCTTCCCATAAAGGAGAGTCTGATAAAAAAGAACAAAATGATTATCCCAAAACTTCCTCTTTAAAATTCATAATTGAAGGGCGCGCAACTAACTAATAATTTAGAAAAACTCTGTTTTATCAGGAATGTAGATAATCAATTTTATTGAATTTCGGTCACGATTATTATAACAATTATGAAGTAAGTGAGAGAAAGATCCAGCTGGCTAGCATTTAAAACGCTCACTAGGCGGGGGTTATAACTGCCAGGAGGTCGCAGGATCGAACCTGACCGGGATTTAACTTTTACCTCGCTCTTACTATGATAACAAACCAAAGAAATAATAAACGTTTTTCATAAAGGAAAACAACTTGAAATACTTAAAACTTGAAATATTCAGAGTAGAGAGAAATAAAAATAACTCATAGTCTAAATTTTTAGCCAACTTTAAAATTTGGCTTCCAAAAAATAACAATATTTATTGTACACAAATGAAGAACACTTCCACTAAGAAGTGATCGACAATATTATGTATAAATAGAAAAATAAAGGAAATAACTGATATTTTTGAGAATTTAGTTGTGTAAATCACTGCCAGAAATTAATAAAAAAAACATGGAGATCGCCACAACAATCAAAGAAAATGAATAAGAATTACAATGAATAACCAGTCTTAGACAACTGAAATCAAAAGATATTTATAACGCTCCAATACACTTTAGCCAAATTTAAGTTTAGCTTCCAAAAAATGAAAAATCAGCAATTGTATTTTAATAAAGTGATCCACCCAGCAAATCCATAAATAGAGGAAACAATGAAATAATTTATATCTTTGAATAGAATACCTTGATTTATAGAATGTTTTGTGTTAGATATGCCATTCAAAAGAGCTCAAAAATTGAATTAGATGAAGAAGTCGGTTAACAAGCTTCTATAAGAATTAAGCAACAAAAGTTTTCAAAATAATGACAAAAAGCCAAAACTTAACAAAAATACGTGAATGCGCCCATCACTGACTCCGATCTGAATTTAAACCACGGATATTTTTTCGACACAAGACGCGACCCAAAAGAAATTTTTTAAATCCCCAACGACACAAATTTTTCTCAACCCATACATATCAACTTGATTTAGAGTTAATTGAAGAGGAAAATTGGAAAATAAAAATAATAAAATTCAAAAACTAATTAGAAAATATTTTAAATCAATTAAAAAACAAAAATAAAAATTTACAAAAAATTAGAGAAAAACTTGCCAAACCCTTAAACTAAAGTAAGGTAAAAAAAGTTGAGGCAAGATGAACAAATAAAGCGCATCGCTCATTTATTTAATAAATAACGTGTTTAATAATTAAGCAAGTTTATATCTAGAAGATATGTGGGAGAAAAAATTTTTGGCAAGCATTCAAAGAAAAAATTCAAGTTGACGAATTAGCCAAAAATAGCGAAAGCTTCTAAAATGTTTTAAATGTAAAATTATGTTTAAAATACAGTGTTAAAAAATACATGGTAAAACCTTTAAAAGTGTTGACCATTGGAATTTTAAAAACTTAGCTAATTTCTTGTTAGGTAATCTGTATTGTCTTTTTGTCAAAATGTCAAATTTAGCCAGTTCTGAGATTGGCTTGCAAAAATAAAATTCCAATAAACCATCAATGACCGCAACACCCATATATTGTATGTATATAAAAAGACAAGATATAAAAAAGTTATATTATGCAGATAAAAAACGCTTCAAAAAATATTTAAAATTTCACAAACTAATAGACGAAACTCAATTTAAAAATAGCCTATTCTTATTTATTAAAAAATTTTTTGTATAAAAAAATAATAAATGTAAAATAAAGTCAAAATTGGATGGCCTAATCCCATAAAAGTTAGTGGTTTATTCTAGTGTCGCCTCGGAATATTATTTTTATGAAAGATTTTCTTAGACCTAAAACCAAACGAGGTATTCTTCATAGTTAGTAAAGAAATCTGGAGCAGAAAATCCAGAATACAATTAAAAATTATGAGACACTTTGCCCTTAAAAGCATAATAGGTTATATTGAAAAATTCATTCAGACGTTGAAAAATTTTTAAAAACAGGGCACATTTCGTTGACCTTTTCTTGGCATTACTTTGGTATTTTTCGAATAAAACAGTATAAAAATGTCTCAAAGTAATTTAAGATATCAGAACTCAAAGTATTTGACGTTAGTAATACCGAATTTCGTCTCGGATTCCATAGGGAACAGTAAAATATTGGTAAAAAGAAAAATAGAATGAGGTTACGAAACTCGGTATTACCTTACCATAAAAAAATTAAAAAAAACCCACAAATTGCCAACAGGTTCCCAATCCTTAATTTTAGGCTTCCAACTGCCTCCACCACCACTGCTGCTACCAATATTCAGACTGCTAGTGAATCCGCCACCTGGGCGTGAATTTGAGTTGTTACCAGAAGAACCTCCTTTATTTCCAGCACTAAAGCTGACGTTTTTTGAAGAACCGAAACCGCCGCTTTCTAAAATAAGAAAAAAGTTAGAAACGTTTAAAAGTAATTCAAAGGTTTAAAATAGCCAAATCTAAGATTGGCTCGCAAAAATAAAAAAGATGTGACAGCAGTTTTCAAGATGGCAGAACCCACAATATACTAGATATAAAAATATGAAGTATGAAAAAACTTATATTAAGTAAATTACGGTTGGTTAACAATTTCAAAATTCTGAGTCAACCTACTGAAGACATTTGAAATTTACTTGAATTATTTATTTACGCTATCTAAGTTAGCAAAATTAAACTTGTAATTTTTAGCGTGTTTAATAATGAAAGTATAAGATTATCTAATTTAGCCTAATTCTAAGATTGGCTCGCAAAAATAAGAAGTATTAAATAAAAAACATTATAAATAAATCATATACATATACATATAAAGAGATCAAATATGAGAAAAGTTATATTAATAATCGAAGAAAGAAGCGTTGGCTCGCAATTAAACAAAATTAACACTGATTTCATGTGTCTGTATGTGGTATGTGCTTACTCTCCCCTATGTTTTTTCTATTTTCGGGGACCTATATCTCGGTTCATGGGCATCTCCGAAAAAAAAGAGTGGTAACGTTCAACTCAGCTGACGAATCGAATAATATGGGTCTTGTATAAAAAAAATCAAAAATTCATAAAAAAATTTTTGTTTAGGACATTTCTTAATGGAATTTAAATAAAAATAAAGTCACGGCGACCCAAACAAAAAGAATTGTGAAGTCAAATGTTTGCAAAAAAGCTTGGGATCGATGCGAGGAAAACTGGGAAAAATAAGAGAGAGGGAAAAGGTCTGAGAAATGGCCACCACCCTCAAACAAATGAAAAATAGTTAAAAAGGAAGAATAGGACGCGCAAAAAGCTCGCAAGCACTCTTTTAACTCCCCCACTCTGCCGGCCACTGGCTATTGAGTTTTTGTGTTAGAAAGGAAAAAGGGGGAATGCATTCGTGGGCCATATAATCGCAAGAAGGGAAAATAACAAAACGGGATTAAAAAATTTTATAAATTAAATTTAGGACTGTTATTAATAAAGCACGGATAGTTAGGCATGTAAAACTGTGGAATACCGGTTTTATTTTGGTGGAATTTTTTTAAAAATGACAAATTTAACCAAAGCTAAAGTTTGGCTCCCAAAAAATTGTCAAAGTGTAAAAAAATAAGTAGATTAACAATGAAATGTTAGATATATAAATATAAAAGGTTAAATTAAATAATCATATTGTGTATATTAAGGTTAGGATCAGCAAAAATGAAGTTAGCGTAAGAGTCTAAGGAAAATTTTTCAAATAAAAGCTACAAAATAAGATTTATAAAAATCATATTCGTGTCCAAAACTTTAGATCTCATTCACGTTATGAAAGTATTCGTATCAAATAATGAAGCAGAATAATCGTAAAGAAAAATTTAGCTTAAAATTGAAGATGAAAACTTTTATGAAGATTTGGTATGAATTTAACCAAAGCTAAAGTTTGGCTGCCAAAAAATAAGATGACGACGTATTTCCCGAAGAGTAAAGAAGAAATATCTGATATACTTATAAAAGGTTAAATTTGAAAAATCTTATATTAATCATTTGAAATTGATAAAACAAAAGTTTGCAGTAAAATAAAAGGTAATAAAAAACAAAAAATTTATTAATGTATTGTGGCATTATAAGAATATTTAGTGTATATATGGAGCATCAAATATAAAAAAGAAAACCTAAAGGAAGAGGAAAATGGCAAGCACATATTTTCCCATAGAGCTTTCGTAAAGTTTTGGACAGATGCGTTGGACAGTGGGTGTCGCGCAAAGTTTAGTGTAAATATTTAGTTTGAATGATCACGAATAAAAATGTGTTGGATGTGAGGTTTCCACATTTACAGAAATTTTATTTAACTTAAAGAGGCTTCAGCTGAGTTATGCATAGAAATCTTTGATATTTTCATAGAGCGGCTTCAAAAATCAGAAGTTGTCAAAATTATACTATTTAAGTAGCAAATTTAGCCAAAGTTAATCAATTTGGCTCACAAAAATAAAAACTGAAAACTTATTCGAAAAAACAAAATATAACGTCAAATATGTGTAAACCTAAAAACTTAGGTTAATAAATATTGTAATATTAAATAAAATTTTGAAAGAAACATATTTTTATAAGATCTTGGGCTAATGATCAACTATAAAATAGTGTTCCGCACAGTTTGGTAATACATACTATGGTAATTTTCGTTATTACTGTTACCGAAAATATCATTTGCCGAACACTACTATAAATAAATTAATTGAATGGTCTCTCCAGCTGAAAATCCAATCCATATTTGAACGTCCATTCTAATAAACCGACTATTTTTGTACTATCTCAAAGTTAAGAGAAACTTTAACTAAGGGTGGACCCCGAATCTTCTATCAAAAAGCTCGAGGCGAGGGTCTGTCGGGATTTTACTAAAAAGACGAGGGTATACAGGGACGAGGACCAGACATAAACATAACCAGAGTAACTTAAGGTGATATAAAAGGAACAAAAGGCGATGATCTCCAACTAAAAATATTCAAATAAATATAATCAAAAAAAATATTTTTAATCCCCCTATTTAATCCCGACCCCCTCAATTCATCCAAGATTTATTCAAAAAAAGACGGTTGGCACACATTTAAATGACCAAAGCTTACAAGGCACTGAGAATGGCAAAACAAATTTAAAGAGAAAGAGACCACACGCTCCTTTAACTTTATATAAAAATATTTTGTAAACAATTCTAATTTAGCAAGTCTGTTTTGGCATAAATAGAAAAGAGAAAAATTACGAAATCGTACAGTGCCGGAAAAAAAGATAGGACCAGAGGCTGTTAATTTAGTTTTTATCGATTATCTCTTTTCAATTAACTTTTAGAAAAAAAGTTTCAACGCTAAAATTGTAGATCTTTAAATGCTCTTTAAAATGAGTATAAATATCAAGATAATTTACCGACAAAATTTTTTCCAAAAAAATTTAAACGATACTACTCAATTTTTGTGGTGGACACAGCGAGATCAGCGAGATTCATTGAAAAATAAATTTGCTTATCGTAAAAAATTTGAGAATAATGGAGGAAATATTAAAGATTGTAAAAAAGTTTTAGAAATTAAATAAAATTAAAAAAAGGGCTATCCTAAATTAATGAGAAAAAATGATTCAAGTTAATTAAAATCGAACGGATATTTGTTCCACAAATCTCCGCACGAATTTAGCCAATTAGAGGATTGGCTTCCAAAAATAAATCAACATCATATTGCTGAACCTTTAAGGCGATAAGCGAAAACCCCTATAAATAATTATAAAAATAGAAAAGGCTATATTAAATAGGCATAGAAGCTTATTATTGAAGCCTATTAAAATCTCACTCACAAGACATTAAAAAATAAACACCCCATTTTTTAAGTAATTTACAATATTTTAACAACAAAACTAAAACCCACTATTTTTGGTTTTGTTTCCACCTCCACCACCAGAATTACCAAATCCACCTGTTGCAAAAGCATCGTTTGCAAAACTGTCAAAACTGTCTCCCTCTCCCCAAACCATGTTGCATAAAGCAATAAAATAATTAGAAAATAGTTGAAAATAAAAAAAATTTGAAAATTATGTAAATATATGAGTTAAACGCGAATAAAAGTTGGGAGAAATTTGGGTACATTTTAAATTAATTTTTTTCAGTTAAATTCAAAACTTGTCGAGAAAATCAAAACAAAGATGATATAGTTTAACAGGGTTTTAGGAAAAATTTAAGATTGGATTGAGGAGTTTTAAAACAAGAAAGAAAACGACGATATGCATAAATAAAAAACTAAAGAAATTTGTTAAAATTATTTAGGAATTAAAAAAGCATTTTTACACAGTTGCATAAATCTCTACTTTAAATTAATAATGTCCGCATAATATCAATTTTTGTCTCGCGCTGTGATAAAATATAAAATTAAATCGCTAAAAGACGTAGTTTATCGAAAGGTATTCTGTCAAGAGGCTGTCTGGACGATGTTTTGTCAGGTTAATACCTGCTTTCACCACCCTAATTTTGAAACAAATTCCAATACTTTTTAATTCCTAATTTTTGGTTTTGATTGTTGGGGTTTAAATAATGTTAATTATTTTCTTTATTCTTCTATTTATACGTATCGTCGATCCCTTTTTTACCTCCAAGTCTATGAGATACGTGTATATTTTTGGAAGCCAAACCTAAGATTTGGCTAAATCTTATGTATCTGAAATGTTTATTACCTAATTGTCTTTCTTTATCTAATCCTAGAACAATTTTTACTGATTTTTGTCCCGTTCATTTTCACATCTTTGTGCAAAAAACTGATTTAAGAATAAAAAGTACCACAATTTAGCCAAAACTAGAGTTCGGCTTTCAAAAATAAATGTATCTTGAACAAGATACATTTATTATCCTCTTTGTATAAGAGAAATGAGAAAATGAACCATACAAAAAATAAGTAAAAACCATTAAAGAAAAATTTAGCCAAAGCTTGAGCTTGGCACCAAAAATATAAAATCTGTGAAATGTTCAGAAGACAAAAGAACGAACAACGAGATCCATAAATAGAAGAATAAAGAAAATAATTAATATTATTTAGAAATCGGTAAATCAAACTTCTTTGAACGGTATTTTGGTATGGACGTCTTAGTTTTACACAAACAATTTTATTTAAGAATGATTTAATCAGACTTGCACACGGATACGGATATGGAAACAAATAATATCAAAATGCCTGCGGGTATCTGTCTGTATCCGCCAGGGTGGCCTTTTTACACTATTTATAGAGGATTTTCGGATCGAGACGTGGTCTCGAACGAAAATCTAGATTATCGAGATCGCG